CCAATGTTCTTCTCCTTTCAGCTTTCAGGGGGGCCTGCCCAGCCCATAGCGATGGTTTCCTCCCATTCTGTCCTGGAGATTTGAGCCTTCCCCAAAGGAATAAGATTTCCCTCTCGTTTCCGGATTTCCCCTCCACCACCATCTTCTGAGATGCATTTGTGCTTCACAGCCCGGCCCGTCCAGCTGGCTGCTTTTTACCCAGGATGTCGACGTTATTCTGGGAAAATCGCAGCAACAAGAATTTGTCACCCTGCCCACTTCGAGAACACCGCTGTGTGCCCCGGGGTCTAAATCCTTCCAGTCTTTTCTCGGTGTGTCAGAACAGGAGACACTTGTCACCCTGTTGTTCTTGCTTAATATGAAAGACCTTTTGTTGCCAGGTCCCCTTTCCTCCACTCAGAGTCAAACCACGGAACCAGAAAGGCTGGGCTGCGTTTCTAAAAGATTCAGCCCCAAACTTAACCTGTGCAGACAATTACTGTAAAAAAAAAAAATCAGAAAACAGGCACAAAGTAGAGAAAAGTAATTAGAGGAAGGGCATGGACAAGGGGAAGAGCCTGAAGAGAAGGAGGGGCGAGTGTCACCTGACTCCATAGACGTGCTGGGAGGTTTGGGGCTCCCCCCCCAAGCTCCCGTCTTGCATGCCAACCAGGACACACAACCCCGTCCCTGAATTTTACCTAGCAACCTTAACCCTCTGCCATGCACATTAATAAATATACATCTGAGCATCATTCTTTTTTAAAAAAAATTATGTTCTTTCAATATTGTCTACTCTCTTTTATTTTTTTAAAATATATTTTTATTGATGTCAGATAGGAAGGAGGAGATAGAAACATCAATGAGAGGGAATCCTGCATGCCCCCTACTGGGTATCGAGCCCCCAACCCCAGCATGTGCCCTTGACCAGAATCGAACCTGGGACCCTTTAGTCCGCAGGCCGACGCTCTATCCACTGAGCCAAACCAGCTAGGGCCCAAGCATCATTCGTAACATTTAATTTTTAAGAATGACCCCAACGCGATCAATTAGAAAATACAGCCCAGTATTGGAAAACAGTCTCCTGGTAACATTTCCATGGAAAAGCCATCTGCCTCTGGGCACGGGCTCAGCACGTGAAAGCATCACGTGGCTCCTCTATGCCAGCCCTGCGGGGCCAGTAGAACCCTGGTTTACGGTGGACACGGGAAGGCTCACACAGCAGCCCATGCAGGGCGGCTGGGGACACCAGGGTCCACGCGCTTAATACCCAATAAGCCTCGAGGGCACCCCAGCGAGGCCGGGACCCAGGATGATAAAACCTGCGTTGCAGCCAGGGACACCGAGGCTCAGATCCGGTCCTAATCACCCAGGTCCGCCTGGTACCACCCAGGGCTTGTACCAATAAAAGTTGGATGGGCCCTGGAAAGTTTGCTCAGTGGTTAGAGCCCCAGCCTGGGGACTGAAGGGTCACGGGTTCGATTCCTGGTCAAGGCGTGTACCTCCGTGGCAGGCTCCCCAGCCCCGGTAGGGGGTGTCTCTCTCACGTGGATGTTTCTCTCTCCCCCTCCTCCCTCTCTTCCACTCTCTCTAGAAATCGTTGGAAAAAACGAGGATTTCATAAAACCATGTTGGACGGGGCATCAAGTGCGGGTCGGGTCCCGCGGAGGCAGTGGGTCGCAGGTCAGACACTGAACTCCGTGCCTTTAAGGCGTCCGGAGGCGGGGCCTGGAAGGCGGGCCCAGATGCCCGACTCCAGCCAGGCGCTCTCCTCCCCTTTAAGGCGCGGCAGCGGCGGGACTCCGACGGCCCCTTTAAGGCGCGGCCCTCGTCTGCCGGCAGAAAAGAGGCTTAAAGGAGACGCGTGGCGCGATGGCGGCGACCCCACGCGCGTGCCGGCGGTGCGGGCGGCCGCTCCCGGAGCTGCTGCTGCTGCTGCTGCTGGCGCTGCCGCCTCCAGGGGGCCCGCCGGGCGCCGCCGCCTACTTCCCGGAGGAGCGCTGGAGCCCCGAGTCGCCGCTGCAGGCGCCGCGCGTGCTCATCGCGCTGCTGGCGCGCAACGCGGCCCACGCGCTGCCGGCC